TGGGCTGGGAATGGACTACAGGAATGGACCCAGAAACATCATATGTACAGAAGAGAGAGCTTTATCTAAAAAAGCAATTGTGTATTAAGAACGCATCCCAGCCCATGTGCTTCACGCAATGCATGGATGGGTGGATTGTGATAAGAGTTGTATGAGCCCCCAATAAAAGGATTTAAACAAAACTGCGTAGTACAACAAACGTAAGCTAAAGGAAAATACACTTAAAAGGTTAATACATATCTTGGACTCTTTAAAAAAAATAAAAAGAACCACTACGTTAATCCATCTTGTCAAGGGTCACCCTCTTTTTTGCTGCCCCTCTGCCCAGCAGGAGGCCCTTTTGCATGGACTGGTCTATCCTGATTACAAGCCCAAAGCAGGTAGGGAGAATGGGTTCGGTTTCTGGCTTTGCATGGAGAAAGAATTCACGCCGAAGCCTGTTTTGCCATTCAAGTGGGTTTTAGGAAGGTCGAGACAGGCTTCAGGTCTTACCGTCTCGGGGTCACGACTGGGCCTGAACAACCAGCCACGTGGAAAAGAGCACCCACGGGTGCGAATCTTGGGGGGGGGGGAATTCCAGGGGGCCAGAAGGCCAAGAACCCTAGAGGTTGAGGACAAGTGGGCCCAGAGTAGGCCCAGAGCAGGTGCACGCGCACTGCGTGGGGAGGGAGATCCTCCCCTCTACCTGTCTCTGACCAGGAGCAGGGTAGAGAGGATCCCAGGGCGTGTTCTCTGTTGTCTGCCTTTATTCTAGCCCACCCCTCTGGCCAGAGGAAGGCGTGGTTGATGGTATTGGTTGACCCCAGGGGCTGAGTTAAGCCCACCTGGGTGATGTCATGAGCCTGGGCCTCATTTGGCCCGCCCAGGTGTACCTCCCACCTGGCTTGGGGGCGGGTTGGCAGTGGGCTTGAGTCCAGCAAGCTTGCTCAGTTTGGGGGGGTCTTCTGATTTCTTTTTAACCTTTGCAGGCGTGGGAGGGACAACCCCCTGGCCCTAAGCTAGTTCCCTAACAAACGTAAACGATCCCACTGCCCTCGAGTTGATTCCGACTGGGTGCAACCTGGATGGTGTGCACTTCGCTTAGTATCAGTGTTCCGTCTGGGACCTGGCACTCATTTGGCTGATCTTGGATCCCTTCAGCTCCAGGCATATCCACCAGTCTGTGGTCCTCCTGCTTCAACTTCTGGCTACCTGTGCGTTGTCCCCTGCCCAACTCAAGAGTAGTCATTAACCAGCACCACCCTGCTGAGAGGGGCTGTGACATCAGGGCTTGGGGGACCGGTGGACGTTGGTGAGCAGTGGAGGAGCGGGGTCAGCTCTGGGGACCGGATGGGGGTGTGTGTGCCTGGAGCAGGAGTCTGAGAACCAGGGTCTCAGAAGATGGCCTAGAACAGCGGTTCTCAGGGCTCAAGTCGAAAGAAGATGTTTTGAGAATGG